CCAACCATCCAGTAACCTCTCACAGCCTCCCAGGAGCCACGGTCTATCATATCACACACACAAACACACACACACACACACACACACACACACACACACACACACACACACGATCCATCCCTTGAGAAGAAACTTGATCTTAGCCAAGCCACAGATCCAGCCACAGATAAACAAAACACAACAGCCTGGCCCAGCTGATTAGCCTAGAGTTCTTTGACCACATCACAGAGGCAAAGGGGCCCATATAGCCACACTCTGCTGGAGAAGAGGCCTGACCAACAGACTAAGGTCCTTCTACTGCCAGGGAGCAGAAGCCCATTGGCTGTGAACTCAGAGCAGCCATTATAGAACCACTGCCCGCAGAAGAAGCAAGCCTGCAGAGCAGACACATAGCCTGTGGTTGAGCATCACCACTAAGGAATGCTCAACCACACCTGAGATATTGCATCACCTCGGCCTTAGGGACTCCACAAGCTGGCCTCACCTAGGAAGTCCCAGGAAGAGAGACTAAACTCTGGAGTACAGGACGAGTGTCCTAAGGATGAAGCACACAGACGCTGGATTTCGCTGAGTCACCAATGCACTTCCAGACCTAAGCTAGGGTTGAGGCTGGAACCTGAGGTAGCCTCAGATGAGCTCCAAGCTGACAGAGTGACAGCTGTGCTTCCCCAGCCCCCACACCCACCCCCGGGCCCCACCTCAGCCTTGCCCATCTTGGCAGCCAGCTGCAGTGGTGTGAGGCCATCATTGTTGCGCATGGTCTCCAGCTCCCAGTTGCCACTCCTCAGCAGGATCATGTCATACATGCGCTTAACAAAGTCATTCTGGGTCTTGAAGTCCTCAGCCACTGTCACCAGTGCGTGCAGGATGTTGTTTCCCCGAGAGTCCTGGGAGGTGATGTCTGTCTGCTCATTCTCCATCAGCAGCTGCACAATTTCAGGTTGGTTGGTACACGCTGCCAAGGCCAGGGGTGTCTCACCTGGGGAACTCAGTGTCAGAGCTCAGTCCTTTCATAGGCCAAAAGCAATATCCTCCAGGCCCCAGGGCCAGAGTCCCAGATTCTGACCATCACAGCAACCCTGATCCCTGAGGTTCCCTGACCACCTCCTACCTCCCCTAACTCAGTGAAGACTGAAGCAAGCTCACACTGGTAGCCAGCCACCTGCTCTCCCTGCTCCCCAGTGACTCTCCAACACGCTGCTCAGCAGAGGAGCAGAACAATCCAGTTAGGTCCCGGCTTACCCAGGACTAATTCCAGTACAACCCGAAAGCCTTATGTGCTTTGAACTCTCATCCTCTCAGTCACGCCCACACCTCTTCAGGCACAACAGCCTCCTTCCTCCAACATGGGACATTTTCTAACCTGGGGCCTTTGCATAAGCTGTTCTTGCTTCCTGCAGATAGTCTTGCTTCCTGCATTGGTAATGCCCAGTCTTTGTTCAGATCCCACCTTTTCACTAACTCACTTTAACCACCCACCCAGACAAAACTCCTGGTTCCTCTTCCTCTGTTCTACTCCTGCCTGTGCCCTCTCTGCACTCCACCCAATGAAGGTTTCTCAACACTGACTGTAACTAGGGCCTATGCTGGGCAATGAGGACACAAGAATGACTGAGCAAGAAGCTGTCCTCAAAGATGTCCAGACTCATCTAGTCCTGCTGATTAAAAAGCCAGAAGTGGAGGTTGGAGAGACAGTCCAGTGTATAAGAGTGTTTGCTACACAAGCGTGAGGAAACTAGTTCAAATCCCCAGCACCCATGTAAAAAGCTGGGCATGGTTGCTATGGGGGCAGAGACAAGCAGTTTGCAGGGCTTGCTGACCACCAGCCTAGCTCCAGGTTCAGTGAGAGACTGTCTCAAGGGGAAAAGATGAAAAGTGATGGAGGAGGACAGCAGATGGCCTCTAGCCTCCGCACACACATGCACATACACCTCACATGAAAACCATACATACATACACAAAAAGACAGGAAAAAAACAGAGCAGAGCAGTGACGGTCAGGCCCAGTAGAGCTTGCTATTGCCTATCCTTACTGTGATGGTGGTAATATATTTATAACAATAACAGAATTGTACACTAAAGTGGATAGATTTCACTATACCTAAGTTACACCCAGAGAATCTCTAAAGGCAATGTGAGCATTGTGTGCATTTGTGTCTTTCCTCCCACTAACACCAACACACACACATCACCCCAAGTCTTTGTTCCCTGCAGATGTGACCTCTTCTGCTACCAGATCACACTGCCAGGCTCTGCCACCCCAGTGGGCCTCTCTGGAGGTGGCACCATTGAACCCTCTGGGATGCTTCAGCACCAGCCCAGTTTCTGATCCACAGAGAGGACTCAATCTTGCAGCGCCCCCATGTGACAAACGCGGGTCACAGCAGCGCTCAGGTCAGGAGACCCCTTCTTTCCCCAACCCCCACGATGTCACCTACCAAAGTAGAAGCCTTCGTGCTGGTACTTGGGGTTGAAGAAGACACCCTTGGCGTGCGCATTGACATCAGCACCTGCTGCTATTAGCACTGCAGTGATGTCTCCCTGGCGCCTCTCAATGGCGATGTTCAGTGCCGTCTGCCCTACAAACAGAGCCGGCATGAGTACTCAAAGGCCTGTGACAACCAAGGTTGTTCTTGGAGCCCCTGGACCCCAGGTAGCAGTAGCTGACTAAAAACACAAAAGATGTAGATATCATGTGGAGGACACCAATTTGGTGGCCAGCTGGGTTCTGGGAAAGCAAGGACAAGTGGTACCCCACCACAGAAAAAAAAAAAAAAAAAAAAAAAAAAAAAAAAAAAAAAAAAAAAAAAAACTAGGGGAAGGAGGCCCACAACCTCCTGCAAGCCTAACTGCAAGGGCTTAGTGGAGAAATCAAGAGGCTAGGGGAGGCTGAGAAGGAAAAGGATTTGTGGTTGTGGTCAGGACAGAAACGCTTTACCACAGGGACAAAGTTGATCAATTCATCTCTCAAAAAGCGTGTTTAGCTTTTCGCCAAGATGGCGCCGAAAGCGAAGAAGGAAGCTACTGCCCCTCCCAAAGCCGAAGCCAAAGCGAAGGCCTTGAAAGCCAAGAAGGCAGTGCTAAAAGGCTTCAACAGCCACAAAAAGAAGATCCGTATGTCAACCACCTTACAGCGGCCCAAGACGCTGCGGCTCCGGAGGCAGCCAAATACCCGCGAAGGAGCGCGCCCAGGAGAAACAAGCTTGACCACTATGCCATTATCAAATTCCCCCTGACC